GCTCAAGTAGATACAAGAGACTAAACAGCCAGCTTCTGTCCAGAGGTGAGATGGGAAGGCAGAGAGGGTTAGGAGCTGGTTGAATGGACATGGGGAATCAAGGGCAGAAAGGAGGAGTGTGCTGTCACAGTATGGGGAGAGCAATTAGAGTCACATAACAATGTATATATAAACTTTTGTATGGGGGAAAAAAAGACTTAAGAGACAAATTAACTAAATGCAATGTGTATAGTTTGTTTAGTGATACAACAAACCAACTATAAAAAACATATTTAGACCTAGAATAGGCAAATGCATGGAGACAAAGTAGAACAGAGGTTACCAGGGGCCAGGGTAAGGGGGTAATGGGGAGATACTGTTTAATGGGTATACAGTTTCTGTTTGGAATCGTTATGGATTGAACTGTACCCTCAAAAATATGCGTTGTAAATCCTAATTCCTATACCTGTGGATAAAAGAAGTCCTGGTGATGCAATAGTTAAGCAGAGTTAAGTTCTGCTGCTATAACCAAACAGTGAGCGATTCAAAACGACCAGTGGCTCCACGGGAAAAAAGACCTGGGGATCTGCTCCCATAAAGATGACAGCCTAGAAAACGCTATGGGGCAGCTGTACTCTGTCAATAGGGTTGATATGGGTTGGAATCAAGAGAACAGCCTACAACAATGACATACCGGTAGATGTAATCCCATTTGGGAATAGAGTTTTCTTTTTTATGTTAATGAAGCTATGTCAGTGTAGAGTGTGTCTTAAGCCAATCACTTCTGAAACATAAAAAGAGCACCTGCACCTCCCTCCATACCTAGTAATGCCTGGCGTATAGAAGAAAAATACTCTTCCCTGAGAAGGCTGTGGGAGAAACATTGGCCTCAGGAATCAACCACTTTTTAATTAGAACAAGGTGTTAAATGAAATAAAAATGGAGTCGTGATGGACAAAATGGCATTGGCAGTCCAGTGGAAATGCCCCTAAGACTTGTCTTTACCGAAAGTTTAGCCTAGCTTTCCTGTAAATCATACCACCCTCACTGACAAATGAGAGCCTGACAGCATTTCAACAGTAAATTGTGTAAGTCAAGCAAAAATAAGCTTCTTTTGCTTCCGAGTTGTGTCAGTGTAAGTCAATCACTGCTGAATACTTAGCGGAGTACCTTTCCATAGGTGGTTTGATGCTACCCGACTCTTGCATGTTCTGCCTGAATAAACCTCATCTAATGGATTAATTTTATTACTGACTCAGCTTCTTTTGAGGAAAGTGAAAAGAGCTTTCACTGAAAAGGTTGAGCTCTGTCTAAAGGGTCACACGTGTATGACTGTGCAGTGGTGTGCTTAGGTGAATGGTGCCCCTTAGAAGTGTGCAGTGCCCAGCTGCAGGTGGTGACCTGTGAATCTCTCCTCAAACTTGCTAGGCCCACAACTACACACATGTAGCTCCATATGGCAGTTGGCTGTGGCTTTTTTAAGGTCCCCTTAAAAAAGGGGAGAAGGGAGCTACCCCACAAGCCTCCATGCTCTGATTTTAGTTCCACTAGCCAGTGGGATTCCCTTTCCTCACTGCCTTTGACTGCTTCTGGACCTGGATTCAAGCAGGCCAGAAACTTCAGGCCCACTCCCCACTGTGCATTTTTGTTCCATTTTTGGTCCACAGATGTTTATCTTGTTTTGAGTCCAAATAAGTTTGTTTGTTTGTTTGTTTCATTTTATCTTTTATATATTATTGTTCTCTTTGGAGCCAAAGATACATATCTTTCTTCCAAGTATGAATTTATGACACTACCTTCTGCAGAAGCCTGAGCTCCCAGTGACTTTTTTAAAGATTCAAAATGTCATGCTCTCCTAGAAACATTTTAAAGCCAACTGAAAGAGACAAAAATTTTAAGGAAGTTCTATGGTAGGTTTTTTCACACTAACCTGGTATCCAGTCACGCAAACTGGCTGTTAATACAGGTTTAGGAAAATTCACTATTTAAAAATCGGATTGTAGAGGCCTCTGCCATTATTCCAATTATACACAGATTTCTTAAAATCCACATTACCTAAAGTAGCACTGGGGTAAATTCCCTATTTTGTGAATCTGGAACACTATAATCAAACCAGAATAAAACATGCCAGCCAAAGTAACAAACTAAAGGCCCTCTGCTGATTGTTATAATTTCAAAAATACAGCAAATCCTGTATCAGAAATGTCCCATGTTGAATTTTAAAATGCACCCAATATCCTATTCAATCCACGGCAGTGCTAGATTTAATCTCCCGCTACCTGTATCACCTAATATTTCTACCTGACACAATTTTTAGACTCCTCAGTGTGATATAAATTAAAAAATTCTGTTTGCACATTTCCAAAATACTCATTTAACCCTATGCATAGCTATAGTCATAACAGGAGTAGCTACCATTTATTTTTGTTTTACATACATTATTGTGTTTTAATCTTCACCACCACTCTATTACTAACTCAATCTTTAAAAAAAAGTAAACAGAACAAAGAAAAATTGCAATGTACCTAATCATTAGGACTGCAGTGACCGTATTATTCAAATAAAAAAATCAGGATATGTGGGTGTGCAGTAAAGATTCAGTCTTGCCCAACAAGAGATCTGGCCTCTGGCCTCGACCTCTGGGATTCATCTCTAGGTCCTTGGAATGTTATGCATGATGGGAGCATCCTTGTTTGCATAGGGGCTTTGGGTCAGACCAGATATTCTAACAATGTCATTTAGGGTGGAGGCTTTGGGTCACATGGCGTTAGCTTGACCTCCAGAAAGGCTGGAGACTGAGATCAGCCATATGGGCAGTCAACTGTACCTGCATGATGGAGTCCCCAGAGCAACTGGATACCAAGCCTCAAGTGAGCTTCTCTAGCTGGCAACACTTCACGCGTACAGTCACAGGAAGTACTCTCCATGAATCCACAGGGAGAGGACAACTGGAAACTGCGTGTGGAAACGTCCTGGGCTCTGCCCTATGCACCTCTTCCCCTGGCTAAATATAATCTGTATCCTTTAGCTGTAATAAACCGCAACCATGAGTATAACAGCTTTCAGTGAGTCCTGTGAGTACTGCTAGTGAATTACTGAAACTAAGGGTGGTCTTGGAGATCCCCAAACTTGCAGTCCTGTGGACTGTGCCACCTAACTTCACAATGTGCTAACAGAGTATGTGAATGGACCTGACCAAGAAATTTTGCTTCCAAAATTTTATAGTAATTACAATAATCTGAATTCTGAATACTGAAGACCAAAGGCAACTGATGCAGGTAAGAGGAAGAAAAGCAAGAAGGCAGACTCTCGTTCTTTGGGAGAGGCTTTGCCGTTAGCACATTGTCTCTGGTCTCCTTCTACCCTTCTTAGACTAATTTTTAAAATATTTATTTGGTGCTTATTATATACGAGGCACTGAGCGAAGTCGTACAAGGAAACAAAGATGAGTGAAATATACCACATGTACCCTTAAGAAGCTTGCTCCTCCCACTGATTTCTGACCTCATTTCACCGCCACATTCCAACCTGCCTGTCTTAATCCACAAAGTAGTTCATACTTCAAAATTACCTGTTTTCTTCCTAACTCCCAATAAGACCTTCCTACCATTTCTCATTTGGGCTTGCTTAGGTAATTCTTTAAAAGAAAAAAAGAAAAAACAGGGTAAATAAACTCATGCAATTATAAAGAAATAAAGCGATTTAATCCTGTCAGTGATCAGCAGGTTAGGTCTGCCTTAAAGCCTGCTCCAGGAGTTAAATCTAGCTTGCTCCTATCTGTCACAGCTTCTTCCCTTCTTCCACAACGGAATCTACACATTCCCTAATGCTTCAAGGTTCACCACCCTTGCCCCAAACCCATAACTGTACTAGCTGTGGGCACTTGGTTCTGTATCAGTGAAAAGTTCTTATTTTATGTCATCAAAAGTCACTACTGACATAGTTCAGATCTTTCTAATATGACTGAATTATTATTAACTTGATTTAAATATAATTTTTCAAAAAGATTTCTACATAATAATGAAAATAAGTCTATATTGTGTACAGTGAACTAACCTGAAAAGAAGCAGTTATAAACAACTACAGAACATAATCATACCTGCATGGTCCTTCTTTTAGTTAATGTAACTTGAAAATTTTTCCACTCCCAACGCTGCTCCACCACATGTGCAAAAACCACATGCCCATTTCCGCAGGCTCCAGCGATCTGAGTACCGTCAACTGACCACGCAATGTTAAATACACTGCCTGTGTTGGGCTTTTCTAAAGCATATGACCACTGGGGAAGAAAGAGGAGGAGAAATATCTGTTTAATGAAAAAAAAGAAAATTAAGCAAGTTTTAAATTGGGGATATGCTATTATATTAAGATAACTTTTATAAGAATGTATCTTTATTCTGGAATTATTAAAATTTTTTAAAATAAAAATATACTGCATGAATATAGAAAACAGACATAATTTTTAAAGTGCACAGGAGAACAGCATAATAAAACAATACATGAAATCTCTCAAGAACTGCAAAAAAACCACACCATTTAAATTCACATTATTACTTTTAAGTAATATTACTGAACAGGTAAACATAAATATTCTACAGAAAACACTAAGGCATCTCACTATTAATTCTTAAGGATCTCTATAGTACCTACACCTAAAACTTTCTGATTTCCTTATTTCAAGAATGCCACTAAAAATGGAAACTAAACACAATTTAACTGTAACATCTCTGAAAAAAACAAACAAGTCCATTGCAGTCGATTCCGACTCATGGAGCCCCATGTGTTACAGAGCAGAACTGCTCTACAGGGTTTTCTTGGCTGTAATCTTTACGGATGCAGATCATCAGGCCTTTCCTCCACAGTGCCATGTGGTGGGTTCGAACCACTAACCTTTAGGTTAGTAGTTGAGTGCTTAACCATTGTGTCACCAAGGGATCTTAACATATAACATCCTAAATCATGAGAGTACAGGCCAACTGATCTATATTTTATACCTTTTTCTCCTTTTCTTTCAGAATGTAGTAAGTATAAGCTCTCCTTTTCCTAGCTGCCATTGAGTCGACTCTGACTCATGGTGACCCCACAGGGTTTTTCAATGGCTGGTTTTTGAGAAGTAGATTGCCAGGCCTTTCTTCCCAGGTGCCTCTGAGTGGACTTGGACCTCCAACCTTTCAGTTAGCAGTTAGCATGTTAACCTATTGCATCACCCAGGGCCTCTTGGCCTCTCCTAGAACCTATTCACCTCTTTGGGAAAGTTATCTAGAGATATCAATAAGCATCAAGTAGCACAAAAGAGATTCTGCATGTTTGTATGAACAAGATCAAAACCAAAAACCAAACCCACTGCCATCATGTCGATTCCAACTCATAGCCACCCTATAGTCACAGTAAACTGCCCCATAGGGTTTCCAAGGAGTGGCTGGTAGATTTGAACTACTGACCTTCTGGTAGCAGCCAGGATCTTCACCATTGTACCACCAGGACTCCGTGAATAAGACATTAAGAAAACAACAAACATTCTGAAAAGTAACCTCATGTGCATTTTCTTTTGTTTTTCAGATATAGCACAAATATTTGCGAGAAAGATGACTTATTTGACAAAATTTATATGCGTTATCTTTCTATTCTATCAACCTTATGGTCTACAGTCAAATCAAGTCTTAATTTTTCTTGCTGCTGTCAGTCTCGGGTGGGTGTGATGGTTAAGGTCGTGTGTCAACTTGACTAGGCCATGGTTCTCAGTGTTCTGGCAGTTATGCCCTGATGTAATTTGGTAGTTATGCAACGACCTAATCACCTCCATGATGGGATCTGATGTGATCAGTGATGTAATCTGGTAGTTACGTAACGATCTAATCACCTCCATGATGGGATCTGATGTGATCAGTGATGTAATCTGGTAGTTATGTAACGATCTAATCACCTCCATGATGGGATCTGATGGGATCAGTGATGTAATCTGGTAGTTACGTATCGATCTAATCACCTCCATGATGGGATCTGATGGGATCAGTGATGTAATCTGGTAGTTACGTATCGATCTAATCACCTCCATGATGGGATCTGATGGGATCAGTAATGTAATCTGGTAGTTACGTAATGATCTAATCACCTCCATGATGGGATCTGATGGGATCAGCCAATCAGTTGAAAGGGGAGTTTCCTCAGGGGTGTGGCCTGCATCCAATATATATACATGGACGTTCTGGCAAAGCCCACTTTCTTGCTCTGGATCCTACATCCAGTTCATCAGCATCTGACCTCCAGTTCTTGGGACCTAAGCCAGCAGCCTGCCCATTGTGGGATTCTTCACCATCTGCAGCCTGTGAGTCAGCAGCCTGCTCTTACCTGCCGATCTTAGATTCGTCAGCCCCTGCAGCTACGTGAGTCAGGAGAAGCCTCCAGCCTGACACCTGACCCACGGACTTGGACTTGCTAATATCTGCAACTGTGTGAGCCATTTCCTTCAGATAAATCTCTCTATATATACACACTTCACTGATGTTGCTTCTCTAGAGAACCCAGTCGAAAACAGTGGGTATTTATTTTTGCTTTACGTTATCACTTTTTCCAAAATATTCATTATTAGCTATGGGCTTACTTTGACTACAAATTTAGGGAAACTGGAAAACAGAAAAAGGTTGACCTACTGACACTTCTATAAAAAAGACTTCGATTCCAATAAAAGTTCATAAATAGGATTAAAATACTGAAGACTATTTTACTACTCACTAACACTTTTTTCACACTCAATCCCTGCCCTCAAACCCCTAACTCTGCTAATGGCCGCACTAAAGTAAAGGCCCTATAATAAAGTTATGCAAGAAGGAGATGATGAACAAACCATAAGGTTTGCTTCACTGTCCACATGAAAATGCTAGAGGCTTCTTTTTGAAATTAAGAGTATAAATTCAAACAGAAATTTATATGTCTAATACTTGAAGTCATCTCTTAAAAAACTGCAGAATGGGAAGTACAAAAATACAAATATTTTGCTTCTGGTCATAAAATGAAACTAATTCATTAGTATCTGACAAACTAAACAAGAATTTTTATGAAATAATACATGACTACTATTTTACATAAAGCTTAGAAGTGGGTGATGTAGACAAATGAGACTCAAATTTTTAGTATCTAATACTCAGTGGCCTGAACCAGGGTTATGACACACCTTTTCATTCTAAATGTAGCCTATTCTCATGATGTGAAACAGATTTTGAAATGTATTTTAAAATCATACATTTATATTTTTAAACTATTTAAGTATGCTCTGAAAATAGTCAAAGATCCAAATCAGTCAAAAATAAATGCCCTACTAAAATTAAGCACAGAAATATTTATCTAAGAACTTAAGGATACACAATCCTACCTAGGAGGAGAAAATGGAAAGAAATATTTAGCTATTATAGCCTACATTTGTCTGATTTCTTTCACAGTCCACATGAACCAACAAAAATAAAACCTACAACATGCAACTTATCCCTAAAAAGAAATTTCAAAGAATATAACCGTACCATGATAGCCAAGATATATTAAACTCTTACAAGCCAGCAGAGATCAGGTTTTTTTTTTTTTTTAACTAAGTATTTTTGTATTTTACTGTATGTGGCTGCCAGTGAAAATAGGCCTTTAACAGTTGGACAGTTGTTTTTTTTTTATTTGGGGGCAGGGTTACATTTTGTCCAGTTAGTAAATTTAATCATTTTTATTGGAAACTCAAAGATCTATTTATTATTTGTTCTTTTAAGAAGACTTTTAACCCTCTAAATCTCTTCTGTTCTCCAATATGCCATGGTACATTCAATTCACGTTTGCATTACTGCTCTCTAGAATACAAAGAGACAGCCTCCTTAGATGTAATGTAGTGGCACTGTCAGTAAAATTCATCCTGAAGATAAATTTTTAAATAACTCTCCCACTAATGCTTACGTCTTTAACCAAACTACTCCTTACTTTAGGATAATGTTACTCAAAGTGTGGTCTTCAGACCAGCAGCATAAGTATGGCCTTGGAGCTCGTTAGAAATGCAATAATTATGGGCCCCACCCCAACATTATTATGTATTTTAAAGGAACTAAGGAGAAAATATTGAAATTGTCAAGGATTTCATTTTACTCGGATCCATATCCATGGAAACAGCAGTCAAGAAATCTAACGACACATTTCATTGTGCAAATCTGCTGCAAAAGACCTTTTTAAAGTGTTAAAAAGCAAAGATGTCACTTTAAGGACTAAGGTGCGCCTGATCCACGCCATGGTGTTTTCTATCACCTCGTATGCATGTGAAAACTGGACAATGGATAAGAAAGATCCAAGAAGAACTGATGCTTTTGAATCATGGTGTTGGTGAAGAGTATTGAATATACCATGGACTGCCAGAAGAATGAACAAATCTGTCTTGGAAGAAGTACAGCCAGAATGCTCCTTAGAAGTAAGGATGGCGAGACTTCGTCTCACATACTTTGGACATAAGTTCCTGGAGAAGGACATCATGCTTGGTAAAGTAGAGGGTCGGAGAAAAAGAAGAAGACCTTCAATGAGATGGACTAACACAGTGGCTGCAATAATGGGCTCAAGCATAACAATGATTGTGAGGATGGCGCAGGACCAGGCAGTGTTTCGTTTTGTTGTACACAGGGTCGCTATGAGTCGGGACCGACTCGATGGCACCTAACAACAGTGAGAATACTTCTTAAGTGGTATTATGTTCTTCCATTAGGAAGCATTTAATGTCCATCTCTCTTTTTATGCTGTTAGCAAATGATGATCACTGCCTAGATCTACTGCCACTAATTCATTGGGAGGTGCAAAAAGGTAACATTCTAATCACTCTTTCTTCATTTGCTGTTGTCATTAGTTGGCTATGAATTGCCCAGTCTCACGGGGGTCCCATGCACAACTGCATAGCTAATTAATATTAATTGCTTTAACTTCTTAATAATACCGATGATATTTTCTAATTTTTTCCCTTGATTCCAAACAATACATTGCAACTAACAGTTTTCTGAGGTTGCAGAAGATGAAAAAATAAAAAATAAAAATGCTTTTGGCTTAGTAAACTGCAAGTAATTTCTAAAAACGTAACATGAAGAAGTAAAAACATAGAAGAAAAAAGTAGCAATTATAAAAGAAGTTTGTGTTGTTATTGTTAGGTGCTGTCGAGTCAGTTCCAACTCACAGCGACCCTATTAAGACAGAGCAGAACTGTCCCAGAGGGTTTCCAAGGAGTGGCTGGTTGATTTGAACTGCCGACCTCTTGGTTAGCAGCCAAGTTCTTAA